ATAGAGCAAGCAACCACTGTTGAACATTCACTTTGTATTGTTGAAGGCTTTCATGGCCACAATCACTGGGTTGTTATAGGTTTTTAGGGCCATCTTCTAGAAGCATTCTCTCCTGACGTTTCACCCATATCTATGGCAGGCATCCTCAGAGGTTGTGAGGTCTGTTGGAAGCTAGGTAAATTGGGTTTATATATCTGTGGAAAGTCCAGGGTGGGAGAAAAAACTCCTGTCTGTTGGTGCTAGGTATTCACATTCACTTTCTCCACCTGAAGAGAAAGGTGAGAACCACAACCAGTTGTCATGGAGCTGTAGAGCCGATGGGAGTACATTTTGTGAAGTGGTGCCACCCACCCCACCACCACCACCAGCCATTCTTCTTTGCATTTCCCCTCGTCTTACTTCTTCTTGCCTTCCTGCTTCATAGCCAGCTCTGCATAAAGCAATGCTTTCAAGACACACATTTTGAATGGCCAGCAATTCTGTTCATAGGATGAGCAGGCAGCAATGATGGAAGCACCCAAAAAATGATCAGAAGGGGCACAGACATGAGGGCAAGAGAAGGCATGGGTAGCTAGAAGGAGGGAGCACAGAGGGGCAATAATGACCTTTCAGTGTGAAAGCAACATTAATTTCTCTTCTTGACATGATGAGGCTACATCATTCTGCCTAATTGGTCAGCGGTTTGAATCTGCAAGATGGGGCGAGCTCTCATCTGTCAGACCCAGCTTCCCATGTGGGGACATGAGAGAAGCCTCCTACGGTATGGTAACACATCCAGGCATCCTCTGGGCAATGTTTTTGCAGACGGCCAATTCTCTTATACAAGAGGCGGATTGCAGTATATTCTCAAGTTGCTTCTGACACACACACACACACACACACACAAAACTCTGCCTAATGATAGAGCTAGCACTGTTTTCCAACTCCATTTCAAGAGACAATCATACTGGTTGGTTGGAATCTCCTTTCTCTGCCTTTTAAAGTGACTATTAGAGAGAACAAGGTGTAGCTAACCTCCCCAAATTGCAGCATAATCCCCCTGTAATAGAAATGCTGCTGCCCATAGCTGCAGAGTCAAGGCACCCTGTTGTAGACTTCGCATGTAAGGTGACAGTGATTCAGAAGTGAAATAAGTATGGAGGACACTTTGATTACCCAATGTACATCTTGCCTCACTGCCTTTAATCTTAGAATAGCGGACTCCAAGCTACACATAATTTGAAGGTGCCTTCTTTTTCAACCTCGCAGAGTCCTAAAGAGGCCTATAAGATGTTATCACAGCATCTTGAGAAAGACCAATATTATCTTCCTACCCTTTACCTTAAATGCTCCATCACACCTAGAACTGGCTTCCTTTATCTGGTGCCATCACCACCCACATTATCCACACCACCCACATTATCCCTAGCAGGCATTTGGAGAATTCCAGGTTAGGGAAAATTGTCTTAGATGCTCATTGGCTGTTATGTTTTCTTAAATGTTAAGATAGCTTTTTTAAAAGCCTTTAAAACATATATACTTATCTGGCTAGGGAATGAGATGTATGTAGAAATCATCTCGTTTTTAGGGATTACTCTTTTGATTTCAAATTGATAGCAAGTTAGTCAGCTGAGATTATCGTCATTCTGTCTAAAGAAATCTAATATTGTGAGATGTGATGCCCACATTTGATTGTTTTTCACATGCCTCTTCATTGTTTCCCTCCCACTTTTGTCCCAAGTTTGTTAGGTTGTGTGTTAAGATTACAGTGAAGCTAGTGAGGCAGTGAGGTGATGTTTAAGAAGACAACAGGGATACCATGTATCCACATCTTTTTATTCATTGGAACTATATTTGCATAGAAGGAAACTGGAATATGCACTGTGCCAGACAGCCAAAGAAAAATGTACAAGTTGTTGATAAGGGTTTTTGAAAGTCTTAAACATTACCATAAATTGAAACTGACATGATAGTAAATACAAACCACAATCTGCTTCCCCAATATGCACTTGCTTTTCAAGAATAGTTTTTTGTTCTGCAAAATTCAGTCTATTGCTCTAAAGCAGTGTTTCCCAACCTGTGGTCTATGGACCACCAGTGGTATGCAAGAACTAAAATATGGTCAGCAGCTTCATCATTACTACACCAACGCAACAAAAACAACTGGTCTCGCAAATCTTTCTTATAATGCCAAGGCTTATTAAATATATATTTTTATGGGTGAGCAGATAGTGACTACTGGATGGCATAGGTTCTGTATCAGAAACTAGAACTGATATGGTCTATCCAATGCAATTTTCTGAATCAGCACCCCAAATGACCAATCCGAATCTAAAGTTGACCAAAACCAATTCATAACCCTTTTGGTACTAATGTTGGAGAGTGGTCCCTGGTCAAAGTTGTTATAGTAAGTCGTAACAGGATCAAGTATGTGTGTGTGTATTAAAAAAAACCCTTATACTATTGATTATTATGTGCAACTGCTAGTGTAGGTCAACTAGTAAGTTTGGACCACACCCAGTAGGTATAACTGTATGAGTTTTAGAATATACTTTAGATTTGCTCTGAGGAGCCTTTGCTCAGGCATTTTGCTCAACCATTTCTACTGCTCTCTCATTTGGATGAAGATGAATAAGCTTTATTCTGTATTGCTTACAAGGACTATGTAAATTTGTTGCACTGTTTTTGATTGCAACACTGCAAGTTTATGTTTTAAATCTGCTCACAAGGGTAAAGTTTTTCTGTTCTTTTCCCTCTTGCCTGTGTGCAATGTTATTGTGTCTTCTGCATTGGACCTGACTGAAACCCGCTATTTGCAACAAAAGTGGTCCTTGGTCAATTGGTCTCTGGTCAAAAAAAAAGGTTGGGAATCACTCACATGCAGCTTCCACTCAAGAATATAACAATGAATGAAGCTCTGCAGTTGCAAGGTGGAGGAGGGAAGGGATTGTGCCATTCCCCCTAGTAATGGTGTTGATTTAATAGTTTATGGCAGATTTTATCTACAAATTTCTCTTCTGGCACACAGATAAAAAAAAGAGACTGGAACACTGTTGAAATGGCCCATGAGCAATGAACAGAATTCTGGAAACCAACATCCAACTATGTGAGAGGAGTGTATGATAGGTATCATTCCCGTGTGAATTGTCTCCATTTGCCAAAAGGGACATATTACCTGTTAAAGCACAGAAGAGTAAAGTGCAGTCCTCTGATCACTGCTTTTTAAGCTGTGAGTCCTGATCCCAAATGGGGTCCCCTTAGCTTAATGCTTGGGTCACAGAAAAATTGGCAACAATAAAAGAAATGCTACAATTTACACAAACCTGTGAGCAACAATGTGCAGTGATTGCAGTAAACTATGAAAATTCTTCAGCTCCACAAAAAGGAAAATCGTCCTATTTAGCAAGCCTTGCAAAGGCTGATTTGTTATCAGCAAGTGTTTGATTTTATACCTATTTTATATATTTATATATCTCAACCAAAAAGTGGTTGTGCATGGAAAAAGTTTAAGAAGTCCTGCGCTTGATGTTGTTTTGCAACAGAACAATTGGCCCTCATAATTTAGCTTCTGGTGAGGAATCCTAGACACTTCATAGTGAAGAAATATTTGGAAAGTGACATTTTGTCTTCTTCTGTCCTGCTAGTATTCCTTCCAAGAGCCTACTATAGGCAGGAGTCCCATTTATCACAAATTTATGCATAGATTTTTAATCAATGACCATTACCAGGCCCGTAGCCAGGATTTCGATTCGGGGGGGGGGGAGGTTTGTTTCGGGGGGGGGGGGGCTGAGTCTGAGTGAAAGAGGGTCTACCCTAGCAAACCTTTTGTATCATTACCCCAATACCCCCATGCATATGAGATATATTGAGTATGGTGATCAGATCATGATATGAATAAACATAACAGTTTAAATAATGCACCAGTAAGGCCTTTTCGCGAACCACCATGAGAATTTCGGGGGGGGGGGGCTGAAGCCCCTCAAGCCCCCCCCCTCCCCCCGGCTACATGCCTGACTATTATTATATTTTATTTTTGTCAATATTGTGTGTCTGGTTTTAAATACGTTATTGTATTTTTAATGTTGACATACTGTATTTTATATGTGGTGTTGCACTATGTGTGCTATTTGTAAGCTGCCCTGAGTCCCTATGGGAGATGGGAGCAGAGTATTATTATTATTAATAATAATAATAATAATAATTAGAAACACAAAAATATTAATATACAGCAAACAAGGTCACTCTCCTGGCTGTTGTCCAGGAACAAGGTCTTTAGGCACTGCAAGGTCTTTAGGCACTGCACCCAGTGTGCTGATCACCATTGGGACCACCTTGACTTGCTTGTGCCAGAGTTTTGCAGTTCGATCTTTAAATCCTCGTATCGTGTCAGCGTTTCAAGTTGTTTCTCTTCAATCCTGCTGTCACCTGTGATTGCAACATTGATGATCCATACTTGGTTTTTTAACATGATTGTGAGGCCAGGAGTATTCTGCTCCAAAACTCTTTCAGTCTGAATTCGGAAGTCCCTAAGTAGTTTGATGTGTTCATTTTCTGTAACTTTTTCAGGCTTGTGATTCCTCCTCCTCCTCCTCCTCCTCCTCCTCATTATTATTATTATTATTATTATTATTATTATTGGTGGTGCTCACTTTCACCGTTCAAGATCAGCTTCCAAAGAATAGTGGTGACATTGGAGGGGGGGGGGGGGCAGCCATGATGTGAGCTCTGCCTATGGGACTTCACACAACTTTTGCAGCACAGAAAGAAGCTACATAACAGATATCACCCCCATTAATAACACATACAGTTCCTTGGTCCAGTGATTTGTGTGTCTCAGCAGCAGTATAATAGCCTAGTTGAAGCAGAACAATAAAGTATGTCCACTTTTAAAGCCCTTAATCTATCTCTTTGCAGCTCATTACAAGCTATGTTTTTGATATTGCTTACTACATCTGTTAATAGATCCTTCTGAAAAGTGAATTTGATTAGTCCATTAAATATAGTTTTAGGAAAGACAAATGCATATTTCATAAGGTTTAATTCAATGTTAAAACTGGAGCAACAGCTCTCTGTGTTTTTAGTAAACAATATGTAAGTACACTGTGGTTAGACTGGCATGTAATTCTACAACATATGACTGACTGGTGTCACTTTTTTATGCTGGTTCAAGGATTAAAAATGTTTTGGGTTATTGTTTTAAAATATTAAGCAGTGAGGATACATAAACCCAGATGAAAATGTACACTTGTGGGAATTCTCCAACCACACGTCTTTTGCCCTGCAAAACAAGAAATCAAGAAATAAATTTACAAACCTGCCTTCTTAAAACAAGACTTGGAGATTCAGTGTAAACACACCATCACATAAATATATGTACTTCCTAAACAATAAAATTGTATTCCAAGTTCTACCAATACATTGGTGGCGTCACAGGAAGCATTTCTTCTCCTAAAGTGGCTTTACTACACGAGTACATTCTGCAACTAAAGACCCACGTTTATGGCTATGAGAAATGTAGCAATCCATTCAACTAAGAGAGTCCACACAATTTTCATATATGCTTCTCCCCGCCCCAGTTGTGCAGGTCTCTGTTTTGAGGTTGATATCTGTGTCCTGATTTTTGACTGTCAGGACATGTTTTATGCTCCCAGCCACAAGTAATGGCTAAGATGCCATGAACTTGTGTGTGTGTGTTTCCACATTCTTGGTAATATGCAGAAGCACAAATATGTCCTTGTATATGTGCATACTCACAACTGTTTCCTTTTGATACTCATTTCATGCTTTAGAATACTAGTTTTACATATGAAAAAGCTCACCTTTGTCCTGAACAGACCTTCCATGCAGTAATGCTCTATTCTTGTAGTGACAATCTGTTACTACTAGCCCATAATCCAAATGCTCATCAAAGTATAAAACTCTTTTGGTATTGTAGCCACTTCTTGAAAAACATGACCACTAACGATATTATTCTATTAGTATCATGTGCAACAATAGTTGTAGTTGCTTGTTTTACTAAGAAAAACCTGCAACCTTGTTCAAATGGTACATACTATGAGGAGAAGAGTTCAAAGTACTCCTGCTAGAGCTATAGTGTAAAAAGGAAAAGGTTTACCTTTTCTTCCTCAGCCTTTAAAAATGCTGATGACGTAGGAACAGAAGTTGTGCAGGGATTCCCAACAATGCTTCCGTGCTAACTTCATGGCTTCAGATTCATTTCCAGGTACTTGACCTTGTTGAGTAGGTTTCACCTCAGGCATAGAAGATGGTTTTGGTTTCCCCGATTTCTGAATGATACCCTTCCTTGCTTGGCTTTCTTTAACATGCTTTGCAGAAAGAAGTTTCTGGACCATCTTTCCACGGTTAACAGCATCTGCTTGTTGGATAGGAGTTAACTTTGTCCTTATGCTGGAACCCATCTGTCTCATGTGAGCTTCAGAAGAAACCCTCTGACACATTGTAGGCTTCAGAACCAGATTAGAGTAGCAGGCATTGTTCCGTTTCCTTAGATCCATGGCAATCTGATTCCAGTAAGCCATTGGGTTGTTGTTAAAAGAAGGACAAAGGGATGGTTTTCCTGTATATTCACACCAGTATGTCTTGCCTTGATTGTTACATTCTATTCTAAGCTTTGTTTCACCATTTCCAATCATACTCATTATGCAGGCATGTTTAGCTTTGGTCTGAAAATGAATCTCTTTGCCACTGCTTCTTTTCTTTGCCTTTGGGTTTTGTGCGAAGGTTTCCATAAAAGCAATAAAAAAGATTACAAGGATGATGGTCCCCTTCATAGTGAAACACAATCACAGCCTTGGAGTCCTGTTCACAAATGAGAAGAAACCAAACTGGGTTTCTTTAACTGAACGGGCATACAAAGAGGTCTCTCTTCTAGGTTGGGTTGTGCATGTGGGGTTCCCACCTAAGCCTCCTTTTAAATACATTCGCTTGGTGTATACATAAGGTCATAATTTATAGCTGAATGGAATGCCAAATAGCCCGTGAACATTCCAGGAGGAAACAAGACAAATCTTGCTGCCCTCACACAGCATAACAGTTGAATAGCTGAAAGAACTATTTCTGCCAAATATGTATACTTTGGTCTAGATTTTCGGCACTTCTATTTTCCACTTATTTGATATAAGTAAGGTTTTTAGCATTTGTTTATTCCAATTGTCATATATAGTACAGTATGACTCCCTTAACCACAGATTAGATATCCACGGTGTGTGTGTATATATATAACAACAGATACCTATGTATCACTGTATATGTATAAAGTTGTTCTATGACTATATCAAATATAACATAGGTTTGCACAGTGCATGTGATATGTACAATTCATAAATTAATCAGTTATGAAAACTTACATAATCAACATTAAACAATTGTGAGAGGAAGTCATAGGGAGGAGGGAGCAAGCTTGTTTTCTGCTGCCCTAGAGACTAGGATGTGGAACAATGTCTTCAAACTACAAGAAAGGAGATTCCATCTGAACATTAGGAAGAACTTCCTGACTGTGAGAGCCGTTCAGCAGTGGAACTCTCTGCCCCGGAGTGTGGTGGAGGCTCCTTCTTTGGAAGAGTTTAAACAGAGGCTGGATGGCCATCTGTCAGGGGTGCTTTCAATGCAATTTTCCTGCTTTTTGGCAGAGGGTTGGACTGGATGGCCCATGAGATCTCTTCCAACTCCATGATTCTATTATTCTACCCATATCCTCCAAAATAGTATTTGTGGGCCTCTCTAGATCATCCAGTGCAATTATGTGGTGTGTTTCCAGCCCAAGTATAGTCTAAATAGTCAATATTATCCACAATTTTAGGTATCCATGGGTGTGTGTGTCTTGGAACATATTCCCCATGGATACAAGGGTCATACTATATCTTCTCTGACTATATCAAAGTAACAAAAAAGTGAAGTCAAACCCACAAATAAAGTAGCCCCTCTTTTATATAATGACTGAAATAAAAGTAAGGTACTAATTCTTCAGTTAAGTCTACCAGAACACTAAATACTTGATCTGAAGGATGGGTTGGAAGAATAGTTATGATCCATAAGGCTGAAATCTCTCTTCTCAGATATCCTATCCACAGATTACCTGGGATTCAAATATGGACTAAAATATACAGTCCATATTGGTCCCTATAAATCCCTGACCAAATTAACATAGTCTCTGACATTTTGTTGAAAATATCAACAAAGAAAAAAAATACTTCTCTGCCAACATTGTACCTGCAGAGTACTTTTTAGTAGAGGCTGAAGTGCTGGAGGCCTGTTGTTTTGCAAACAATATCTCTCACATTTGCTTCAAGTTGGATGTTACAATTGTCAAAGATACAGTAGATGCAATCAGGACACAGCAAGGTTGTTATTATGGCCCTCAGGTTTTGTTCCAAACTTTCTACAAAATTGTGGTCTCGTCGTAGTGAAACATAGCATCAGATCCTTGAAATCCTGTTCTCAGCAAATGAGAAAAAACAAATCTGGTTTTCTTTAACTGACTGGCATACAAAGAAATCTTGTTAGGTTACATATGGATGTGGAAAAGTTGTTAGGAGGCCTAAGGCAAACCTTTTTCCTATGTAATCCTCCCTTGCACAAGTCATGGCAAGAAAAGGTGGCTGATAAACGTGGCAAGGAGAACGACAGGAAAAGCAAAACTTTACTAATGAGGCAAAAAGAAGCCCAAACACTGAGTCACATCAAAGAAACAACTTGTGTGCAGATTGGTTACTGATGACTTCAGCGGTGTGCTTTCATCATGTGAAATGAAAAACTAAATCTCCAACATCAATACACTTTCGGGCACAAATAACATATCTTTCACCCTTTGTGAATTTGCCCAGTATTGGCTGATATTATTTAGATCCGATCAAGCCTGGCATCTGGCTTAGTTTGAAGCTAGAAACAGCTTGGTCATCTCAATGGGAGATAAAGGGTAGGGAAGGCAATTTAAAGGCTTTGAACATGACTGCATGCCATAATACATGGCGTGCTATCCCACAGCATCCCGTGACAGGGAAGAGCAGCTACTATCCATTGTTGTTATTATTATTACTATTATTGTTTATGTATATTAAATTGATTAAATAAAAATTCTTCATGGAAGAGTAGCGATACTACCACAGAAGCTGGAGGACCTAATTGCATGGGGTAGGTCCTGGAACTGTGGAACTAACAGGGACTATTGACATGTTTTGCCTATCAATCACCCCAAATGGCTTAATAGCAGGGAAGTGGCTAACCAGGAAGGGTGATTGTTCTGCTACTGAGCCAGATTGCCACCTCCATGCAATGAAGTCCTAGGGGTAACAGACGATCCCTTGTGCAGCCGGAATTTTAGATTCAAGACAATGATGCTCACATTCTGTGTTACTGGCTTAATGTGTCACAATTAATAATAGCAATATAGAAAACCTTTCTTGTAACTAACTATATAGGGAGATTCTTGTTTCAAAGATGAAAAATTGTATTAATTATTATTTTAATATTTGGAATTTTAGGAGCAAATTGGGTTTTCTCTGAAGTAGATCAGGATGCATAAATACTTGCCAGCTTAAAATGGATATAACTTCTTCCACACTCTCCGTGATGGGGAAGCACCAGCTAGGGGTGGGGAGGGAAAAAGAAGGGGCTATAGATTTGATAATGGTTTGCCCTAGTGTTTCTAGCCAGGGATTTACTTTACAAGGGCTCCCTTCAAGCACAGTGTTTTATGAGGAATGGCAAGTTGAGTTACATATCAAAATTATGTCATTATTTTCCATTGGTCTTTTCCAATATTTAGGAAAACACACTGAAAAGTGCAAGTGGCGGACTACTATTTGGTGTGTTGTTCTTAGGTGACTTCTGCACTCTAATTTTTTTTCATTTCAGTACAGGCTACACGACACACAACCCTTTCAACTCAGAAGATTCTTTTTCTAATTTCTTCTATTAAAGAACCCAGCTCATGCATCACATTTTCAAAATAATGGTCTGTGTGTGTACGTTTCTTTTCCCTGGATTTTCTTACTGTTAAGTGCATCTCCCTTTGCCTTCATTAAAATATTGCATTCTATTTCAAACGTGGGGTTTATTTTTGAAGGGGTATACATCTGTAAGAAAATGCAGCAGTCTACATGTTTGTACATGTATGTGTGGCTGTCATACACACATGTACACCTTATATCACACATAGTCATTTTAGAAGGGGTATCATTCCTTTCACACTCTCCATAATGGGAAAACACCAGCTGGGTTCTTCACATCTAGTGTCTTCAAGGTACAACTAACTATCATCACCAGCTACTATGCATAATGGTGTAGTTTGTAGGAAATTGTGATTCAAAACATCGGAAGGGTGCCATGTTGCGGAAGGCAGAGGTAAACTTTGAAGTTTTATCTGCTCTGTCAAATCCAGGGCAAAGTCATGCCCCAAACAGAACCAGCTTACAACTGTGGTTTGGTCAACTGATGCCTCTAAGAACATGATACTTTTAAACTTTGAGGAAATTTAAGATCAGCTTATGAAAAGTTGGAAAAGTCATATCACATATACATAGCTACTCATATATATCTCATTAAACATGGTCACTGTAGAATATACGTACAACACTGATTTTTCATGGGCTTTCTTTTAGATATATACTTGAGCATGATAATGAACTCTGTTTCGTGTCTTCTGTTTCTTGTTTGCTCTGAGGGTACAATTCTGTGCATGTTGTGCCTTTTTGTCACAGTCTTGGGCTTGTACAATAAAACTATTTGTGTGTGTATATATACTTAAGTTTCTTAACAAAATCAGCTAGATTTAACTCTTACCCAAAATCAAGTCCATCTAAGAAGAAGAAATCCATACTGTTTCGGTCATGAACCAAAGTTTTAACCAAATGAAATAACATCTTCAATTAAAAACCTACACCAACATTAATCAATATTTCACTTTATTTGAATGATTTCAGGACATTGCCAAGTTTAAAATAGGAAGTTATTAAAATCTACAATTTTGAATCTCTCTCTCTCTCTCTCTCTCTCTCTCTCTCTCTCTCTCACACACACACACACACACACACACACAGGAATTCTGCATATTGGAGAGTAGGAATAATCACTTTCCCCTATTAGTGAAAAAAACTTCTTCGATCCCATGTAACACCAGCTTCTGTTCAATTTGAGAGCTGCTGCATAGCTGGCATTTTCCCCACATTGTGAAAAAAGTATTTCCACTTAATGAAGCACGACACAAATTAATGTTGCTGATAATGTTTGGAATGGATAGCTGATGTGTAAACATTACATAATTGAACAGATGTTAAATCAGGAATGATTCTTGAACAAAACTCTATTAAAGGAGCTTCTTTACAGTCAAACAGCCAAAAAACCAGTGGCCTTAATATACTTTAGTATCTCCTCCTGATTCATATTTTCAAGAAATACAATGTCAAAACATCGAGAAGACATTGTATTTTTTTAAAAAAAAATGCATTGAGCACCCTTTCCAAATTAGTCAGACAAATTAGTCAGACAAATTAATTCTGTTCACAACTCTTACACCCAATTTCAAGGAAAATGGAATGCAACAGTTCTCTAAATTGTCCTACAGTCTCCTTTAACATTTCACAAAATATAGGCAATTTTTTTTTCAAAAATTCAGTTTACAAGTAATATATAAAGAGGCCATGACAGAGGAACCATGCTTGTTAATCTGGGGCCTAGTCTCACATCTTTGCCAAACTTAATAAACTAAGTGGACATGGAATTATGTGTCACTTTCACCTGAAATCTAAGATGAGGTACACTGATATACCTACATCTCAATACATGTATCCCCAAGCCAATGCCTCTCATACACATGTAAATGATGTACATGGGAATGTTGGGCATATCTAGGCATGTATGATCAAGAGACAGCAATTAAAGTGCTGTCTTCCATTCATTACACATAGTATACTATTTGCAGTTGTCCTGAATAGGTCCTTTTGACCTGACATACTATATTTATTCAGATTCTAAGGAAGACATTTTTAAAATTATCTTTCATTTTCACATTAGGTCACAATGTTTAATACTAACTGATTTAAGAAAAAAAATACACTTTTGGTCTTAGTGACATGGCATATTAAATTATCACCCGGAAAAAAATGACATTAAATTTTCTGAAAATAAGAAAGACTGGTTTCCATTTTTGAAAGAACAAACCAGTCAATGGTGGCCATCTAACAGCACCAAAGGAACATTGATCATGCTGAATAGGTTTCTTGTGAAGTATATAACAAATAGTATTAAAAATCTGCTGTAAGACAGCTGTAAAAAACACAGATACAAAAGTGTCTGCAAAGATAATGTATTCTTCATGTAAACACATTTTACGTATTGCAGTAATAAATCTAGGTATTATAAGAAAAAACTGAGTAATTGCAAATGGGCAGTTAATCTGAAACGAAACAGACAAAATAGTTAACATAAAACCCAGACAGCCCTGTTTACTCAAATTATTATGAACATATGGTACAGAAACCTCAACTGAAAAATGGTGTGGTAAAGCAAGAATAGAAACCATTAATTTCAGGTTTCAGTGGTACAAAATAGCAAATAATTGAGAATAATTCACTGTGCAGGCCCTAAACAAGAAGGATGAATATTCAGAGTTCAACGCTGATTGGAAAGATGGTGTTTTCTCAGAGGAGAATCTGAATTACTCTTTCCACGGGCTGAAAATGAACACAGAATAAAATTAAGGATAATTTTATAAAAACCACATTACAAGGCAGCTAAAATAAAACAATATATGTTTGTATCATAATGAGAGAAGCTGAGAAGATAACACAGCACAAGAAAGAGGGAATATTGACAGACTTATGGCAAGATTGGCCAGAGATGGAGGAACAATTTAAGAATGGGTGCCTTCATATGGAGCTCTATTTCTTAATTCAGCTGAGCTTAAATGGCCAATATTCATCATCAAACCATGTGACTTACCCTTGACATTTCCAATATGTGCTACCACTGTTCCACAGAGCTACAAGATAGAACACAGAAATAATACTCATTTTTTTTGCAGGGGAATGGTCTGTTTGCATCTAAAGCAAAACATTCTTCAATGTAACATAGTCGCTAAATTGAAAATTAATTCCAGTATGAGAACACTTAATATTTACTCTCTGTATTTCAAAGTGTTTATGTATAGTACATTATGCCATTTTATTAGGACTACAAATCAGCCATAAAAACACAACCAAGTATTTCTCTTCCGCTGTAATTAACATATGTTCTTGCATCAAAAAAACTGATAAAATTTGAAACACGATTCTCATGTTTAGGAATAAAAATGCCGAGCCTCTTAGAAAATACTAAAAGCAGTAAAGAAGTACAGAAAACTAGAAAAAGCTAGGGAGGGCATGACTAAGGAGAAACTAAATGGAAACTACAAAGTTGCCACATTAAGGAGCAAGGAAAAGCAATTGAGGCATAGCTTTTACAAACTCTGTCTCAGGTTCCACAATTGTAAAAAGGAAGTGCTTAATTTAGAGAAAGAAAAAGATAAGCTGTTAGTCAGTTTTAAAAAAAAAATGCTTTGGATATACTTTTAGTGTTTGGATATACTTTTAGTTTTTGGTGTTAAGCTCCATACTTTAAATGTTTTCTATTTATTATTTCTCAATGTTTTCTATTTATTATTATTTCTTTTGTACTAGAAGTGTCACTCACTATCAAGACACACAGTTTTGAATGGCTAGCCTGCTAAGATATTCTCCAGTTCAGGAAATCTCTTTACAAACTGGCCTAAGGCCTTTTGATTAATTCTAAATCTTGCTTTGCTAGCATCTTTCTCACCTTCAGCAAACTTACACTGGTAAAAGAAAGGGAAAACTGATGGCAGAAAAGGCTTGTTCAGGAGATTATTGTTCATTTGGATCAAGAGATTTGGGGTGGGAGGTGGGGGGGAGAAATATATATCCAATAAAGTATAACATAAGAAACATTCTTGAAAATGCACGCGAGTCCTATCCTGGTTCCATCAGTGAGTTTTCATCATGATGGATTTTCACCACATTTGGGAGATCTCCTGGGAAGACCCAAAGTTTTTCCCAAGGATTCTCAGAGAAAGTTTTAACGAGAGACAGAGAACATTCTCCATAAGGGAGGCTGGATGGCCATCTGTCAGGGGTGCTTTGAATGCAATTTTCCTGCTTGTTGGCAGGGGGTTGGACTGGACAGCCCATGAGGTCTCTTCCAACCCTATGATTCTATGATTATAGTCAAAAGAACATATTAAGGATACTGCATGTTACCAATAATGGATGGAAACCAGTGCACTGTAGATGGTTTCTTTCCCCGGGCCCTACTACCCTGTAACAGCACCTTGTACCCACTTAAAGGGTGGAGGACAGAACCACATAAGGAATAAAGTAATGGGAAGGAGTATCTCTCATTCTCACATGTGTTAATTAGAAACTGACTTGGTTAGCTGACTCCTGAATAAAGGGTATAATAATGCTACCCTAATGATTTCACTGGGTTCTCTGTGATTTTGAAATGCCACTGAAAAGGATATCCTTTTGGACAGTGTGGCTAAGATGGGTGCACATATTGCCACAATTCAATAATTGGATTCTTACCTGGTGGACCAGAAGCAGAAGATTGGTGGTTGGAGACTGATGTTCTATCCTGTGGCATACCTAAGACTTGTAGGGTATCGGAAGGTTTCATCTTGTGTCTCATTACTTTTTAACGACAACATTAAACTGTTGGGTGAGGTCAGCCAGAGGTTTGGACTCCATCTTCTCTGGGGATGTGTTTCATTCCCATTTCAATCTACCAATTTATCACTTCCTAGTTTCCCTGGGACTGAATGATAGGAATGCATGGTAGTGCACTGCATACTTTGAATGCAAGAAGGGGAACAATGTGTTTTAGCCAAGTATCAGGATCTCTGTAGTTTGTGCATAGGAAACAGCTTTGGAACCACATGTAGGCTATGTTTAAAAATACAAGGAATATTTTTTAAAAAATAATAAAAAATGATAAAGTTATTGTGCAACTGTAAAAACTGATTACGGTACTGTGCAACTGTAAAAACTGATTACGGTACATGTATAACATGCTTGCTTCATTTTCTTTGACTGAAGGCAGGGCTCTAAACCAATGGCAGAACACATGCTGATGATTGTGGAAGCTCAAAGCCTGACATCTCCTGATTAAAAGGAACTGTGAGAAACTTTGTATAGAGATCCTAGAGCACTATTTGAGTATAAACATAATTGATTTTAAAGGATATGATCATAAATTTTTCAGCTGCTTATAAAGCATTGAATATATTTATCCATTGATAAATAGGATTAATTTGAGCATCTAGGGCAGTGGTTCTTAACTTGTGGGCCGTGGACCACCAGGTGACCGTGAGGACAAAATCTGGTCCACGAGCCTCCTTCCTCTTTATTTTATTTTATTTCTGCTCCTTTTGTGCCGCCTGCCACTCCTTCCCTATCGCTGATCATGGCATATGTTCTATATCAGAAACTAGAGCTGATATGGTTGATCCACTGCAATTTTCTGAATCAGCACCCAAACCGAATCTCTTTACACTTTGTTTTATTACGTTATTGTTACTATTTTATTGCATTACCATGTTATTGTTCAGCATTTTTACTTGATGTTATAATCTGTTATCGTCTGTCTTGTATGTATTTTATTTTGCCTTATTGTAATTGCTTGGGCTGCTCCGAGTCCCTTTGGGGAGATGGTGGCAGGGTACAAATAAAGTTGTTGTTGTTGTTGTTGTTGTTGTTTAAAGTTGACCAAAAACTGATTTGTAAGCCTTTTGGTACTAATTTTGAAAAGTGGTCTCTGATCAAAGTGGTCCCTGGTCAAAAAAAGGTTGGGAACCACTGATCTAGGGTGATGCGTTGTTAGTACAATGATTAATATTTGTTTCACAGGAGGTTAATTCTGCTTCATCCTATAGTAGTTCTAAGTTTAAAAGAGCTTGTGATATGAGCAGTTTCCAGATATAATGATTATCTTTAAACATTCTGAACAAACTAGTTGTAGTCTTACTGAGGAAAACCTATGCAATTCCAGTTCTGCTATTTATTGCTATTTATAGCTTACATTAAAAAAAATATCAAGTCAGTAGTGTGAAGTCATGCAAAAAGAAAAGGATTTAACTTTAAAACATGCAAAAAAAGGAAACAAATAATAATGAGAAATGTATTAAGAATGTTTATAAAGTTTCAAACTTGGTTTACCTTGTCATAATTGGATTGTGTATACCATATAAATGCTCTTTATGATAACCATTATTACCATTTTCCAAACTGTAATAAAATAAATATACCAAGAAAGGACTGGGTTAATGATGAATGCAACTAGTTACAGACCATGGTTTATAAAAATGATAATTAAAAAATGAGCTTATTTTAAATGCTAACAACCAATAAAACAGAATGGAAAGACAACTGAAATAGTTCAGTATATAAAAGAGTGTAACCAACCCAGCACACTCTGAAACAAGACTGTCCATTAAGTAATCTACATAATGTATTAGTTCCATAGAATGTTCCATTTCAACAAGCTCTGCATGTAACTATGTGTGATATTTATGTAAACAACACAGAGCAATATGCCAAAAACGTACAAAAAGAATGTGATTGCAAATATGCAGTACTTCTCAATTTTAAAAAAACTCCATTAAAAAATCAAAAATCCCTCCCTTATTACAAGTCTTAATAGCAATTAAATTCTCTTACTTTTTCATGGGCATAGATTCAACACTACAAAATATAAAAAGAAGTAGTTATCTTGTGTGTTAAAATGAAATTGTACATAAGAATATTTGGCTTCACAGGTTTTACCAGCTCTATTAAAAGTATAATGTAAAAATGGTCCACATAAATAAGTATGAAATTAAGAAAAAGCACTGGACAGATAGACAGGAAAATGGTGACTAAAAGAAAAACATGAAGACAAATGAAAAATAAGTAAAAACAGCTATCATAAAGTGAAATGCCAAGTCCCTGAGACAGAGGAACTGCAATTGGAAGAACAGAAGAATAAAAGAGTAGTTAGGAAGCGCAGGATAATTACATAAGACAAAAGCAAAGAGTTCTTGCAAGGAAAATCTAAAAGCGAGCACAGCATAGTACGTTTCATATATTCACCATATAACAACATCCCATGCCATATTTTATCATAAATCATATCATTCATTTTCACACATGAGAACAAGAACATAATAATTCAAACATTTTTGGTAGCATATTTGAAATATATTTCATATTTTGAAGCTTTTTGTGCAAAACACTTTTAGGCAGTAGAAATAGAATTTTAAAAGCATCAATTGGATTCTGCGGAAATATTTATTTGCACAAACACACTGCATTTCACAGGCAAACTATGGTTTTTGCACAACTGGAATTTTTTCATTGCAAAAAAGTTTCCAAAGTGCAAAAGATCCCTGAAAAATATGCATCCTCTCATAACATATTGAGCTCTATGTAGAAACCTCTTTTCATTGAGGACTGTATATTGAGAATATACTTTACATTATTTTTCCAGAGTTTTGTCATATCTAAATCCCTATTTGTACCTATATCAGTCATAACTGACATTGGGAACGAGGGAGATCCACTATAGTTATGTAAAGGTTTTGATTTTTTCCCCTAAAAAACAACCTGGACCCTAACCATGCTCAGAGTCTAGGGACTGTTGTATACTGTATGAGAGGGAGATCGCCAATTTCTCATTATTTTCAACAAACAACAACCCTCAGGATTATCTGGAATCAGCTATTACTGTTTAAATCAGTGGTTCTCAACCTTCTTGATGCCGCGACCCCTTAATACAGTTCCTCATGTTGTGGTGACCCCCAACCACAACATTATTTTAATTGCTGCTTCATAACTGTAATTTTGCTACTGTTATGAATTGTAGTGTAAGTAATGTAAGATATATTTTCATTCACTGGACCAAATTTGGCACAAATACCAGATATGCCCAAATTTGAATACTAGTGGGGTTGTGTGTGTGTGTGTGTGGGGGGGGGGGTGGTGTGGTAATTTTGTCATTTGGGAGTTGTAGTTGCTGGATTTATAGTTAACTTACAATCAAGAAGCATTCTGAACTCCACCAATGATGGAATTGAACCAAACTTGGCACTCAGAACTCCCGTGACCAACAAAAAATACAGGAAGGCTTTGGTGGGCATTGACCTTGAGTTTTGGAATTATAGTTCACCAACATCCAGACAACACTGTGAACTCAAAAAATGACAGATCTGGACCAAATTTGGCAAGGATATTCAATATGCCCAAATGTAAACACTGGTGGAATTTGTGGAAAAATTGGTCTTGACATTTGGGAGTTGTAGTTGCTGGGATTTATAGTTAATCTACAATCAAAGAGCGTTCTGAACCCCACCAATGATAAAATTGGGCCAAACTTCCCACACAGAACCCCCATGACCAACAGAAAATACTGTGTTTTCTGAGGATCTTTGGAAACCCCTCTGAAACCCCTTCATGACCTCCTAAGGGGTCCCGTCCCCCAGGTTGAGAAACACTGTTTTAAATAGATAGGTGTGTCTCCAATTGTTAGTCCCAATTAGTTAGTACCAACAAAAGCTTGATAGCTCAATATCTGTGCAAGTTCCATGGATGAAACAGGTCTACCCTTGATGAAATAATAATTGTGTTTTAAGACACAAAACTCACCAATATTTTTATGTAGTTTCAAAATAATTATCACATGCAAATCATTCCACTGAAGTCAATTTCAAACATGTAATTTTCAATATTACTTAGCTTACTTACTCATCATATACATCTTCTGTATCCATCCTACGATAGAATTTGGCTAGTTTTATAGCACAAATGATGGCAGGGATTAGAAATAGTGAGCAGCCCCCTAAACCAAACCAGAAGGCATTCTAGAAAAAAAGGAAAACATTGTATAAAAATGCATTTCCAATTCATTAGAAAAAGAAAATATGACCAAATTGCACTAACTGGTTTTTAAGTGAAGTTGAGAAACTATCTTAGGAAAATGTTCTTCTTTTCTCTATTATCCTGCATCTTTAATTTCATTCCTGCATTACCTACAACCTGCTACCTGTTAACCATTGTTAACTTTCATCCAGATTGGGAAGCCAATGTCAAACTGGTTTAAGAATCTGCTTAACCAAAAACCACAATTATTCTTCTTCATCAGCTCCAGATTCTGGATGCAGAACCAAATAGGAGATCTGCTTGAAGAAGAGGATATCAATGTGTTCTGCACATGCTTTTAACATCAGCAGTGTGTGGGCAGTTTGTGCTTATTTATTTATGTATTTTATTTGACTTCAATAATTGATGGAAAAATTATTTTACAATTCAGTCCTAAGGCTGCCATGTTGTGCACAAACTTCCTTTATGCTGAGCCTCATGATTTGAGATTCAAAGTGAATGTGGCCCTTCCAACTCTGTATTGTTGCCTATCTGGTGTGTTTTGACAGTACATGGCTGTCAATTTTTTTTGCTATGCTTGAAAGACTATAAAACAAGGGGCTTTTTAACCATTTGATAGGCTACCACACACGGTAGATGTTTTACATTCAACTTGGTGGATCTTGAATGATACCAAAATTCTGTATGTAGAGAGGTCACTGCATTGTGCAATAGTAAGAGGAACGAGGATGCTATGATAAATCACCTTGCCAGCAATTTCTTGGCTTTTACAGAAAATAAATCGACTGGGGAACCACCACAAACTCCATAATGCAAGTGCCTGAAGCAAAATATCAGCCTCAGCCAAGCTAAACATGGTGAGGAGTGTGCTGTCAACCTTGGACTCTGGACAGAACATTTAATGCATTAAGTGAGTCAACGACTGTAAAAAAAAAACTCATTCAATAACAGGGCCTCAACTCAACCAGCTTAATGCAAACTGGAAAGGAATGTGTATATCTCAGGAGATTAATATGTGAGCCAAGCTTTCCTCCAGCAGCAGAGCTGAACAGAAGCAGCTTTATCCCTGCATGCAATGGAGTGGCCCCTTCATATGTTAGTGGTATTTTCTGGGTCAAAAGATGGTATTTAAGCAAGAATGAAAAATTGAATGACTGCACAGATTAGCTTAATTAGATCCAGCTCTTAAAACGCTGGCTTTACAATTTGGTTGTAATAAGACTTGGTTTACTAAGATATTCCAATTCCTACGAGCTTACCCAGCCAGTGAAAAGCATATTCTGTGGATCTTTCAGTACTCCCAGGTAATAATAACGGACAGAAATGTCTGTAGTAAATGTAATAGGCTCATATTCAGGTATTTTGCCAATGTTTCTTCATGTAAATACATGATTACTGTACGCTGTGGAAGATGTTGCCATTACAAAACACCTCTGTATATATTGCCATTCTTCAATGTGTGTGTGTGTGTGTGTGTTGTATTTTCCAGCATACAAGGCAACTATGGGTATAAGACAACCTCAACTTTTAAAGATAAAATACAGAGTTAGGGATATACTCGCCGTTTAAGACTACCCCTCTTCCAACACTATGTTCCCGCGGCCCCTGCCACTCTCCTTTCAAGGACCTCCACCACCCTTGCCACTCACTTTGTCCGAAGGCCGCTGGGCTTGCCTATGCTCAAGGAAGTGCCTCCGGACGATGACTCCCAGCAGCCCCGGGTAGCAGCGTGCCTTGGGTGTATTCACCGAGTCATTCTGCGAGACGTAGGAGTCAGGGACATACTGCTATCAGAATGTCTCAGTGAGCCCATCCAAGGCACACTGCTGCCCGGGGCTGCTGGAAGTCGTTGTCCAGAGGCACTTCCTTAGGCCTAGGCAAGCCCAGTGGCCTTCGTAGGAGGTTAGCATCGGGGGTGGAGGAGGTCCTTGAAAGGAAAGCGGGAAGAGTGGCGGGAGCCGCAGGGAAAGCCCAGCGGGCCATCATCCCCAGCCGATCTCCGTGGCAATGCAGCCTGCCACTCCTCCTCCCCATGCCCTCTCTCCCTCCACCCTCCTTCTCCCTCCCTCTTCAGGCCACACCACTAAGGGAGATTTTTTCTTTTTATTTAATTATTATGTTTGTGTGTGTGTGTATGAATTTATAAATAGCCTAAAATGCACCAACTCTTATCTGATATTGGAAACTAATTAAATTCTGCCTTGGTTAGTATTTGGATAAGGAATCCTGGGAGTTGTAACTTGACGAAGCACCAGCACTCTTTGTGGGAGAATGCTAAAGACTTTGGAAACTGCAGTCCCATGATTCCACAGCATTGAGCTATAGCATTTAAAATGGTGTCAAACTGCATTAATTCTGCAGTGTAGATGCACTCAGAAACCATAAATTAGATGTTTAAAGTGCTTCTACCTAATGTTTGAGCTTATTATAATACAAAAAGTCCTTACCAAAGAATCTGTTATATAGCTGCACAAAAATATATCTACGGCTGTATCGATCACATTGGCAATGGGCTTACATGTCGCCACTTCCATGGTAATCTACAACAGATCAGAAACAAAACAATAGCACTGAACATTTGATACTGAGTTTTTCAAATTAAAAGCTGTCCATGTTAACTTATAATGATAGAAATACTAATATAATTTCCGCATTATTCAATCTGACTAAATCTTGTTTAGAAAGGGAATTGATAATAGATTCTATCATTTCTACATTTCCACTTTTGTAAAACCCTGGGTACATTAATATTACAGAATTGTGTCATTTTTAAATAGCTGTCTTACCGATTCTTTCACCCATTCCGCATATTGCTGAAAGTAACCTATTATAGTACCCATGTACTTCTTTGTTTCCTGAGGGTGGGAAAGAAACAAGGAATGAAGGTACATACAACAGTGTCAGGTATAGTGAATTAAACAAAAAAAAAAACTAGCTTAAAAATTAAAAACCCCTTTTAAAACAAAAAAAATTACCTGAACAATAACTGATGAAGCATTATTGTTTATAATATTTTGAGCAGAATCAACTGCTCCAATCACATTTTTCACCTTCCCCTGGAAGAAGAGAAGGAGAGTGCTGTCAGCAAGATGTAAGTACATTATGCCAGTTCAATCTGCTAGTTACTATTACTGCTACTCATGGGGTTGAATCTAAAGACAAAGTTGCATTCATCTGGAATATCAATATCAGCAAAGGATCTTATAGCACCCCAGAAACAAATGGAGAAAACTAAGTAGCATGAGTTTATGTAGATTAGGGGCCTATCTACATGGGCAAAAGGAGTTGGGGTGGAAGTGAATTGACTCTGAGCAGTGCACATGTGACACAGGGCCCATTCATCCCTAATGCCTACCAAGGCTGTTCAGTACGGCCTTGTCCTGCATCAAAATGTTGCAGAATGCTCTGTAGCTTTCCCAAAGCTCTGGGGCTCACCCATATTTTATAGGTGTGTGGAGAGTTGGGCCAGTCCCTCTTTGGAACTGGCAATGACTTTTCACACAGACATTCTGAATTCCCTGGGCTCAGGCAGCCTGGGAACAGGGAATGGCACTTACCTTCCCCCTATTGTTCTCGGCTTAGTGGCAACCATCAGAAGTTAAATTGCCAGTGCTCCCTGATCACTGACTGTATCCACTGACACTGGCTTGAGCAAGAGTGATTCCTCCTTTTCCCTCCCCACTGTTGCTCCAGTCAGTATCAGTGGATGTGGCAAGTGACAACCATTGGCAATTTTGTGCCTGGTGGTTGCCCCTAAGCCGACAACAAGAAGCGGAAGGTAAGGGTGCCAGCCCTGTAGCAACAAACTGGGTGCGGTGCCACTGGCATTTGCAGACTCCATCTAGCTGAGCCAGCTTGGAGGCTGGCTGTGTGGATTCCCACAGCACCAACCTAGAGTATCTCAATCTGGATCAGCATGAAAATATGAGGTCCATGTAGATGGGCTGTCGGTCTACTTACTCAGGAGGGAGGGAGCTGACCCGATTTCACTGGGTAGAGAGTTCCGCAGGCGAGGGGCCCTGTCTCTTGTCTCCACCAGTTGCATTTGTGAGGATGGTGGGACTGAGAGCAAGGCCTCTCCTGTTGATCTTAGACTTTGTGATGGTTCATAACAGAAGATACATTCAGACAGGTAAGCTGGACCAGAGCTGTTCAGAGCTTTATAGGCTAAAGCCAGCACTTTGAATTGTGCTCAGTAGCAGATTGGCAACAAGTGGAGCTGGCACAGCAGAGGGGTTGTATGCTCTTTGTATGCCACTCTGGTGAGCAACCTGGCTGCTGTCCAGTTGCCCCAATAAAATATTGCAAGGCCTAAATATATCCCATACCATTTTTTGATAAGCCAAGATGCTTCAATGTAAAAGTCACACATTCAGATGCCAATCAATTTCAGATAACACAAAATTTCTTCCATTAATGAGACACCAGCATTTAAATTATTTTATCTAATTTTGTTTTAATTATATTTGGCCAAGGAATCTAAAAATACAGTAAAACAAATTTATGTCACATTCTATTATTTGGTGAGATCATGTACTGTTCAAAACCAAATACTAAGACTTTCTGAAGTAGTTTGGTTTAATGTTTTAACCCAGGCATGAGCAAACTTTGGCTGTTAGGAATTGTGGAAGTTGAAGTCCAAAACACCTGGAGGGCTTAAGTTTGCCCATGCCTGATTTAACCCCTAACTCTGGTGACTGGAGTTTGAATGTCCATTCAGCCATTGAAACCCACTGATTGACCTTGGGCAAGTCACAGTCTCTCAGCCTCAGTAGAAGGACCCACCCCCCCCCCCAACCTCACCCCACAAACAACTCTTGCCAAGGAAACCATCTGATATGGGCACCATAGCGTTGGTGTCAGAATGAATTTGAAAGTACAAAGTATCAACAAAACTTTTAACTGAGCGGCCATACTATTCTGTTGCAACAAGAACAAAGTAGATTTTGGTGCAAATGAAAGACCAACACTTTATATTTAGCATATGATAGATGGGCAGTAAGATTCTATGATAGTTGGCAAGATTCCTTGAAAGGTTATAGTAAATAAAACTCACTATGCCTTTTATGGTCACATGCTTCTATATATGTCTGAATATTACAAAAATACCTATGTAAAGCAACCATATTATGAAAAAGAGGACTGCCTATTTTACAACTAGCTATCTACAATCTAGCAAGAGTCTAACTTACTTGTTTCATTATTTATTTAAAAAACATAAGTATGGTCAATCATGGAGTACAATCACTAACACAATTTGAAATTATTTTTTTTAAAAAATTGAAAGAACCAACTCTTGCATTTCCATATCAGGTACAGCTCCCAACAGTGGAATGTTGAATGCGGTGAAAGGGATGAAGCAAGTTTAATTTGGAAGACACTGTAACAACAGAAAAAAAATCCTTACCGAAAGTTCTGAGGAGAGTTTTTGGAGTAGCCTTATGCTCTGGTTTAAAGTGCTCTGGTTAAAAATATATAAAACAAAGAAATTATATCACATGCATTTCTTGGACCATATTCAATATACTCAGTAAGTTGAAGTATACACAGTCTAAAAGAGATATGTCTCTCGTAAGAACTGGAAATTACAACATAGAGATTCCTGTGATGTAGATAACATGGATATATATGTGTGTGTGTGTGGTATTTTCCTAGGTTATCAAGTATAGCGCTTCAATGTGATCCTTAAATCCATTGAGTAGAAATCACAAAAATTGAGAATCCATTCTATCTTGTCTATATCCCACCATATAAATTACACAGATCTAGATGGTCTCATAATTGCACCAATTTGCACAGCTGACAGGTGTATCTTGGTAGAACAAATATATGCAGCACATACAATCTTTACATAAAAGCTTCTTCTTGAAAAGGAACCTTGATATCACTAACAGCACTGAGACTATACCAGGTTACATCCAGTTTTATAGGGCTAAACTATATGTTATAAGAAAACATTTGCTAATTTTGCTTTCAATGGAAGTGATGAGAAAATTTAAACATTTTCTTCTCACTGTGAGAATGCTCAAGGCTGATTCTATACAAAGTTCACATTGATTTTTTTTCTGTTCAGAAAAGACTATTTTTACACAGAAAATATGTAGACTTATTCTGCACAAAATTTGCACTTTTTTGCATAGCCAGTAGCCTTTTCTGCACAATAAACAATATGCTGTAATGTTCTCTGCACAAAATAAATTCCAAACTGGAAATATTATTGTCAGTTCAGCATTCTCCTCATCAGGATTTCCCAACGCATTTTTAAAACTTTAAAAAGTAATTCCATCTCTAAGAGTTTTCTATTCCTTCTATACATTATAGGATGACAATGGGGGGCCAGGGGTAGGCAGAACCCTAAGGACATGTGCTTAAACTGTACTGCATATTAGGAATAAGAGAGGAAGGGTGGAATAAGGGACATGCTTCTCTTGGGCTGTGGTCTATAAAGTCAGTCCCATGAAACAACATACCAATGTGCTTAAGCCAGTTTCATACTATACTATTAGTACATAAATAGCATGTATGTTTAGTTAACATCTACAATATGTTATCATGTGCAGTATTAACATTGATTTCTGCATGTATGAGATATTTTAGAAATACTTCAAGAATTTTTTCTAAGACTTCAACAGCTAGAAATAGTAGTAAAAGCAATTAATGGTGGAGTTTTTACTTAATTATTTAGTCCCCCCCCCTTTCCCCTAAAACTAAGGACTGTTTCAGATGGATCAAAAGACACATGAGCGCTTGCAATATAACTCCATTGGTTAGACCAGTAATTGTCCTCTCTAAGTCCAAATGTTCCAGTCTTTTGAGTGCCCAACTGTAGTATTTTCTTGGATAATATTAAACAGAAGTGTGATTTGCTAAGATAGTGATGTGGTTTGAAGACACATTTTCCTTTCTAAAACTGAAAAAAAAATCATTCTTAAAACTTATAGTGGAATAGAGGAAATGCACCTTTCAATTAATGGACCATAATACTATAACTAAAAAAAAATAGAAGAAAGAGGAAGAGAGAAGGGAACATATTTTTGATACATGGAATTAGAAAGAAAGCCAATTGAGGGCTAATCATATGTTGTAGTTGGTTCAAGGAATTTTCAGAAAATAGTCCAGCACAACAAGAAAGTCATTTGGATATTCAACAAGGAAGAGAGGGCTAGAGCAACAAATGCTGCAACCTCCCAGCATTTTTGCCCCATCAGGAAGAGCCCTACTGAAGCAAAGTGCAAAAACCTGCTAATTTAAAATGGGTCTAACATTGTTACCTACTTTCAAAGCATGAATAGAAAAACACTTACCCTAGCTCTAACATATTTCTTGACAGTCAGTTTTTGGAAAAAGAAGGTTGAAAATGATTAAAAGTAAATTAGCAGAAAATTCGAAGGAACAAAAACAAGCAAGCAAAAGCATAAATATCTGCTTTTCAGTAGTGCAAAACTAAGCAAGTCAAAAAGCTTGATATATAGCAAGATATAATTGTCTTCCAATTCAGCCCCATACAACTACTCTTAACAACACAGAACGTTCATACTGAAGATAATAAAGAATTCTGGTGATTTTGAAAGAGGAGACAAACTCTTTAGATCTCTTTGCAACTGTCATAGAGGAGGAAAGAAATCAACATGTCTAGAATCCACACTGACTCAAAGCTCTCTGTTGTTCATGCAAGGAAAGATAAATCATAGTTTGAAAGGGATCTGGAAGTACCCAGTGGACTGAACTGAAAAGACACTAAAACCTTACTGAAGAAAAGGCCGAGCAATTCTCAGGAGTTTGGTGCTGCATTTGCCCCTGCAGGGCATGAAGGAGATGAACTCTTCTCCATGTCCCTGGCATGTCCCTCCCACACTCAAAGGAGTTCCCACGCTTATATGTCTTACATGTCCTCACCGTCTGTTTTATTCCCACAAGAGGCCTTTATTTAGAAAGGAAGTGAGCCAGAGCGCAACTTAACTCTGTAGGAACTGGCATGTGTGTTTTGAATCCAACAAGGTTATTGGAGGGAGAGGAGAAATAGTGAGTGGGGGATTGTAGGATCTGGGGGCTGCACGCAGGACATGGTCCACACTTTCCTGTTTTAGACTATTGTTGAAGAAATTAACATGCCTAGAATTAACATTGACAAGTTAGGGAATCCAACTCGATCTTGAGAAAAGTGGGCTGTATCTGATCCCTAAGCATGTCTTTGTATCTTTCCTGAACCCTGGAAATTGAATTTATAAAAGGGATTGAAGAAATATCTGCAATTGCTCCTGAGTTGGCAGTTAACCTCTTAAGTGCCTATATTCTCTTGGAAAGTTAGGAAGCTCACATTGGTAGTCACCCTCCAATCACTTTTGTTTTGTGCCCCTTTGACCAAAGGGGCAAAAAATGATCCTGTTGCAATTGCCCACCCTGATCCTCAGAAACTAAGACACAAGCTTGACTTATAATGCCAGACACTTTTGCAGCTTGTTAAACAATCCTCCCTCTAATCTTGTCTTAGTTCAGCAACTTTTAGTTCTGTATTACCATTGCTTGCTCCAATGGAACCACTTGCTGACTATGTATCATTCGGATATTATTTGCATGTCCTTTCAAGGCATTTTCCAGTGCTCCTTTAGGCTGTAAGTGTAAACACATAAGTACATATATTAGAAATTTTAATTAACAATTTCAAAAAAAAAGTAGTTATTTATACGTCAAAGAATGGACAGAAGCATATTTCCCATGCAATAAGAAATTGTGACATATTATAAAATGTAGTTTGAGATATCACCACAGATAAAAATGTATCTGTTCTGCCAAGACCTTTACAAGGCAATGAGGACAAAGTTGTTAAAGGTATGTGATATTGTTTTAAAAATTTAAAAAATATTGTAATGTGGTTATGAATTTATTTTAATATTTTAGTGTTTAATAATTTCATTTATAAACTGTTTGCTTTTGATATTAGATTTGTACTTTTGTTGTGTATTTTTAAATAATAATAATAACAATGTCCTTCTTGGCTAGCTTCCCTCCTTTTAAAAGCACTTCTCATTATCCTTAGTAGTCTCATCTCTTTTGCTTTGCAATAATGGAAAGCAATTGAATCTCAGTGTTCATTCTTTTATCAAGAAAACAATATAGTTTTCTTTACAGGGAAACCCCATTTATCTTTCCAGAAGACTGAAAGGTGCAATGGCGCCCTCCACTGAGATATTTAATTAAATACAGACAAAAGGCAAACACCTGAAAGCAAATTTGGGGGTATGATTTCCTCCTTGGAAAGATTTGTCTGGCAGAGATTTAGAGGTGCAGTATTTTTGTTCCAAGATCGAGTGCAGTTCAAAGCTGAGACTAAATTTGATGACCTACTGAGACTCAGGTGGTTGTAACAAAGCTGATGCTGTCCTAGCAGTAAAGATTTTAGATTTGTGGGAAACATGATCTTGGTGTACATGTTCAACATTAATACTTCTCCAGTTACAAAACAGATTCAGTAATTGCTACTATTTCTCTTCATTCAATGAAAGCTTACCAGTTGATCTGCTCTTGCTTCTAAATCGTTAGCAAAGGACAAGAGATCCACTTTGGTAACACTCTTATTGATCTACACAAAACAGAAACGAAATCACATCACCAAAATATTTAGTTGAGGTACTTTTCACTGATATTCTGGTCCCTGTTTTTGAACAAAAAGAAACTCCCCATTTGCAACATTTTTGCTTATACTGTTTATTATTATTGCCTTTATTCAGTGTTATTATTGCTTGTAGTTCACCAAAACATTGATTTGTACTCCCAAAGTTTAATTTGAATTAATTTTGTGTGGGTTAGAAACTTTGCATAGACATAACAAATATTTTAAATAGAAATCCGTTTTATTATAAACTCAGAGATTCACTACAAGAGAAGAGGAAAAGCCAAAAGGTGATCTTAAGGACAAAATAAGATGCAGCCATGGTAAAAAAAATCCTAATCAATTAACTAATTATTATCTACTGATAACATTAACAATCTGAAATACAAGATAAAGGTTCAGCATGACTAGTTTTACTTGGTCTTTGCCCCATATTTTTTATTATGGATTAATGACTATTATTTCATGACTGGCTTTTCACTTGTCATTAATCCCATGATGGGAGAAAGGTATGATATAAAATAAATGACCAAATAAATAAATGCTTTCTATATGTGTTGTAAGTTAAGTAGATGTTTCAAAATAGCTATAAATTGTAAGGTGTATGTATTGGGTACCAGATAGTTGAGAAAGACCCCTGAATTGACACATAACTGTCTTTATTTCACTAATGCCTCTATATCTGAGCCCACGAAGGGAACACGTTTTCCACACACACCATCAACATATATGTTTACCTTTTATTTTAATATACTGTATCTTTTAGCCAATTTTTGACTAAGCTTGTGAAAACTTCATGTCTTACCTCTGCCAGGTATGCTGCAAAGTTTATCTCATTTATTCCTGAAGCACTAAAATCCAAAAGATTTTTCTTTCCAATTTCATCCAACAAGACTATGTTGCTCAGATTTACATTAATATGTCTGATTTTAAGTGACACGTCTTCTGCATACTATGGGAGGGGGAAGAAAAAAGGAAGAGGTTTTCATTCAAGTCTCATGTACTTATATTAGAACAATTGCAATGAAAAATCAGTAAACTTTCTTGTTAGCTGGTCACCAAAGACTTAAGTCTCTCCTCATCATGCAGCACAATGGTAGTGAGCTTTGAAATTTTTCTTCTCAAAAGTAACTATCAAGATTTTTATTATTTTTCTTCTCAGGGGTGATCTGCACTTTAAAAAAAATCATACAAAATATACTTCATTTTCTTTGCATATAAAATGACAAATATTCTGCCCAGGAAACTGGCTTTATGTGCAAAAATGCCATTTTCTGCACATAATCATTATCTACATGTGTGTTTGATGTATAAGAAATAACACCAAACTGTAGATATGTACACAGGCTACTTAATATAGTTTGCGGGCAGTGTGACAACATGATGTTTAAATAACACATAAAGGAAACACATGCAGTATGATATACTAGGGCCTTTCAATCAAGATAACTTTGAAAGAGAGCCCATTACATGCATTAGTGCAATCACATTGCATGGTGAAAGCCATTAAGAGACAGGCACTCCAATGAGAACATGTATGTCAGGGCAAGGAGAGTTGGGAAAAAATGAATCATTAACAGCCAGGAAGCCACAGATACTGCAGATTATGGAACCGGGTTGAACAGGCCCGTAGCCAGGATTTCGTTTCGGGGGGGGGGGGGCTGAGTTTTTTTCAGGGGGTTCGGGGGGGGCTGAGTTTCGGGGGGGCTGAGTCTGAGTGCAAGAGGGTCTACCCTAGCAAACCTTTTTTTATATATATAAATAATTTTTATTTGAAGGTTTTCAGTATTACATACAATCACAGCACATGCGGGTTACAGTAGACATTGATTGATTCTTCCAGCTTACATCTGTACATTCATCGACATTATCTTTTCACTACTATCGATTTCGTCCCCACCGAAGTTTCTCATACACAAACATTATATGTTCCTGTTTCTACTTAAACCTGCACTCTACCTAATCCTGACCAAGGGTAAGGGGATGGGTGGGTCAGAGGATGGGATAGGAAAAGGGGTGTTGGGGGGGGGGGTGGGTGGGTTGTGTATTGTGACTCATACGTCCATACATCCATTGAACTTCCCAACAGTCCATGGGGTAAGATAACACTTGATTATTTTACTAGATTACTTTCTGTCATATTGCAGTCATCAACATTCAATCCCTCATAAATTTAAATTTTTCTTTTCTTTAAGATAACATCTAAGTGATACCAATCTATTCCTCTCTTTTTACTTACATCATATACCATATTAGATAATGAGTCTAATTCCATGAAATCCCTTATCTTAAGTAACCATGCCTCTAATGGAGGCGGTTCCCTAGATTTCCATTTACTCGCAAATACAGTTCTTGCAGCTGCCGAGAGGTGAAACAATAACCTCTCCTTATTTTGTTCTATTTCAAAATCCAGTATGTGCAGGAGGTAATATTCCACCTTTAACTCAAACTTTGTTTGTAATATTCCCTGTACTTGTAGGTGGACCTCCTTCCAAAAAAGCCTTGCTCTTTTGCAATGCCACCAGCAGTGTATGAATGTACCCACTTTGGTACCGCATTTCCAGCATAAATTGCTTGCACCTTTGTGGAATTTTGCCAGCCTTAGAGGTGTGAGGTGCCAGCGTATGAACATCTTATACCAACTCTCTTTGATGGTAACTGATTTGGCAAATTTCATTTTTACTTTCCAGATATCTTCCCAGTCTTTTAACAGGATAGTATGTCCTAAATCCATTGCCCAGGTGATCATGTTCTCTTTTATGAACTCCTTTTCCGTTCCCCATTCTAGCAGTTTTTTGTAAAGAGTTTTTGTTATCTTCCTCTCCTTCCCCATTATCGTATCCCAGAAAGACTCTGTTGAGGCAAAGCCTTTTTTGTTGTCCTCTTTAAAACTATCCATTACCTGAAGGTAGTGGAACCATGAGAAGTTTTTGTCTAAAGACTTCAGTTTTTTTTGAACACTCAGAAAAACAATTTCATCTATCATTCAAATATTTTATTACAATTATGTTATAAAACTTTAAATCACAATAAATTGACTCAGTAATCAGTACAGCAACTTCAAAATCACCATGACCATGGCTCCCTCTGGATCAATCAACCTTTCAGTACTCACATTCTTTAACAGCTGAAGATTCAAGGACATCTTTAACGACAGTCCACATACATCATATTAATCAGAAGGTCACTAGATTGGATTACTGCAATGCACTCTGTATATAACGCTTCAGAACACCAAAAGATTCAAAACAAGGGAGTCAAATTCTTGACCAAATGTTCCATAGTTGGTCCTTATGTTTTCCAGCTCAAGTTGAAGTGCTGCACTTTAGTTTTTGATCTAATTAGCTTACAGCCAGGCTATCTAAGGTCCCTTCCACACTGCACCTATATCCCAAGATCTGATCCCAGATTATCACCTTATCCCAGATTATCTGGCAATGGAGACTACAGGTCCTTCTAGACAGGCCCTATATCCCAGGATGTGATCCCATGTTTTCTGTTTATCTTAGATTGTCTCGCAGTGAGGATTCATATAATCCAGGTTAAAGCAGAAAACCTGGCATCACATCCTGTAATACAGGGTCTGTCTGGATGGGCTCTCATATAATCCAGTTTAAAGCAGATAATCTGGGATCAGATCCTGAGATATAGAGTAGAGTAGAAGGGGTCTAAGACACTGGCTGCTCCAATACAAGTCTGCTCCACAAGGCTCAAATTGGCCTAATTTTGCACAGGCTAAATCTTCATTTACATGTGCAAGGGGGTTAGGTAATAACAAATAAATAGAACTACACTATTTTGCAGCTTTTAGCTTATTTTGAAGTAAGTGTCAAAACCTCAATTCATTTCTAGTTAATTCCCCAAGTCTGCATTTGAAGGGTTCAGGTGATCATTCAAATAAATAAATAAATAAATAAATAAAGACCACAAAGACGAAATACTGAGATCATTCAAATAAATAAGTAAAGACCACCTAGATGAAATACTGAAAAGCAATCACACTAACCTAAATTGACTTACCATGCTAACATTCAGAATGTCATGGATATTGAAGATGTTTTCTAGTTGAAGTGTGGTATAAATGCCTTTGTTTTCTTTGCAGTCACTAAAGATACATGTAAAATACACATCAACAGGGAAATCAATGTTAGTTGGTAACATTGCCATTATATATCCATTTGCAGTTGATAAACTAGACATTCAGAAGACTTTTTGAGGGGAGTAATATTGACTTAGATTCACAGGATCAGAGGATCTATGCCTTCAAAGTATGCTAGCTCTTCTGTATTACACAAAGTATCCCTTCCTTCCCAGTTTCATGGCAGGTGGCAAAGATATACTGTGTTACTGAAAAAAAGAGTATGTGATATAGTACAGAAGTCTATAATATCAAGGGAAAAGTTAAAGACTTTTTGTGGTGTAGACTCTATGGTATCTACAAAGCTTTGGAAGTATTTAGTTATATCAAACTACAGTAGAATATTGCTTATCTGACATAAATGGGCCGGCAGATAGTCAGATAAACAAAAATGTTGGATAATACGGAGTCTCCTACTGTTACCTGTCTGGTGCAGTGCTAGACACCTAGAATACTAACAACAGGGACTCAAAGGATTAAGGCAAGTCAACACCTCGGGGCTAGAGCAGCCCAGCAGGAAGTGCCCAAATGCAGAAGAGTAGCATGGAAATTACAGAGGGAAGGAGGGAGGATGCTTCTGCTTCCGGTCCGGTCACTTTCCCCCCCTTTCCTCCCTCCTCCTCTTCCTTATCTAGTCTTTTTCACTTATTAGGAATGGAGGGAGAGTTGGGGAGTGCTCCTTTAATTGAAGGGGAAATGCCAGAGGAAAAGGGGGCGTCGGATAAGAGTGTCAGATAAGACAGAATGTTGGATAAGTGAAGGTCGGATAAACAAGACTCTACTGTATTCATTGACTGTACAAACTAGCCATAACATACTCTTTCCAAATAGTCTCCAACAGGATATAGGTGCATCTAGCAGTAGCTCAAGCCCCCCAAAAATATGGTAAGACATTTCTGGGACTTTCAACTCAACAAAATCCGGATGGTGACATGGCATCTGACCTTGCACAAATGGTAAGGAAAACATAGCTATTTGGGGCTTTCAGAAGCATTGCTTTCTTTGAAGATACTCACTGGCATTTTGAAATGATGTATATGAATCCAGTCAATTAGCATAATACCAGTTACACCAGTTAATGTTCTTTTAAATAGAGCCAGTTTGTAGTTATAAAGATGTGAATATACTCTAATTCCATTAAGGAAGCTTCCACTAACCCCCTCCTTTTATTAGCAGGCCAAGGCTTTTCTGTTTAAACAAACCTTCAGTCTTTAACTGATTGGAGTACTTTGGTGGCAGGTTTTAATGTTATTTTAATTGTTTTAAACTAATGTTTTAAGTGGTTATTTAAGACTTATTTAACTCTTGTATTTTAATAGCTGTATTATTTTAATGTGGGAGGTGAGCTATTTTGGATTCCTTTCATGAGAAAAAAACAGGATAATAAATAAATAGATGGCCTGAAATGAAAGCCTGCATACATCTATTCATCCATTTTTCTACATGCCTGTGGAAGCAGGGGAGTAGAGGATGGCCATAATCAGCCCACACTGGGCCAACAATAAAATAAAAACCCTTAGCAAAACTTGTTTTCAATCACTGAAGTACACTGGACTTCTTAGTTGTCTTATAACTGAAACACGGCATGCCAATGAGAATTTCAAATAATACCTAAGTTAATTAATTTGTATCACAATTCATGAAAAGGTTACCTGTAAACTTTTTCAAATGTCAAGTCAATATTTGGATTTTTTAGAATGATGCCCGAGAGATAGTGTTTCCAGTGGCGATTCAACAAGTAAGGAGTGTCCAAAATCTAGAACATAACATTAATGAAAGCTTAATCTTTTCACATGTAAGTTCTGAGAAATGAAATATACATATAAAATGCAAACACTTAGTAAACTTAATTGCTTTAAAAAAACAAAAACAGTGAACCACTGAATTCTTTAGAATTACTTTCATTTATTCAATGCTCAGGATTTCACCTAAACTTAAAGCAAGCCTGAATCCAGTTTTATTGCCTGAGATTGTGAACTTTTTAGAACAACAAACACATGGAACAATTCAGTCTCTTTCCCTAGTAATATCACTTTGGGACAAACTAGAAAGCATGCTTAGCATGCCTTTACATGAGGTACTGTCCCAAGTGTCTGTTTGGCTTAGCACAGTGGTTCTCAATCACTATGGGTCCCCAGGTGTTTTGGCCTACAACTCCCAGAAATCTCAGCCAGTTTACCAGCTGTTATGATTTCTGGGAGTTGAAAACATCTGGGGACCCACAGGTTGAGAACCACTGGCTTAGCATGTCATTTTATTTGGAGGCATTTAATTTGGAGGTTTCTTTGGAGGCTTTTGAACATAGGCTGGATGGCCATCTGCCGGGGGTGCTGTGAATGCAATTTTCCTGCTTCTTGGCAGGGGGTTGGACTAGATGGCCCACAAGGTCTCTTCCAACTCTATGCTTCTATGATTCAATGATAAAGCCATTTCAGCATGCTTTGTTTTATCACTGGACATGCCAAAATATAATCATGATTTGATTTGCAAAAGCATTTATCTCTGAGGAAATCATGGAAATAAGAAGAAAATATGCATAATCTTGAACACCTAGTCTGATTCACAAGGTAGACTCACTGCAGATCTTACTTGACCAGTGGTTCCCCAACCTTTTAGTCCAGGGACCACTTTGATCAGGGTGCCACTTAGTACCAAAAGGGTTACTAATCAGTCTTTGGTCAACTTTAGATTCAGTTTGGTTATTTGGCATGCTAAATCAGAAAATTGCATTGGATAGACCACATCAGCTCTAGTTTCTGATACAAAATATATGCCATCAAATAGTTGCCATCTCCTTGCCCACAGAAAAACATTTTTAATAATCTAGAGCTGATGTGATAGTAGTAATCTTTCATGGGTAGTCAGCCTCTCCCCTCCCAACATCCCCGCTGCTTCTGCGCTATAAGAGGGTTTTGCGAGACCAGTCACTCTAGTTGCTGTGTGGTTTCAAGGCAATGGTGTAGTAATGATGAGGCCACAGACCATATTTTCCTTCTTGCAGACCACTGCAACCTGCGGTCCACAGACCGCAGGTTGGCAACCACTGTACTAGACAATATGAACCATTATTACAAATCATGAGATCAATACATTGTTATTTCCTAGTAACAAAATGGGTTGCAAATAACGTTTATTCTGAACCAGAGTTTAAATTGTTGGTTTGAAGAAACAATGGAAGTTACAGGGAATATATTTTGAAAGGTATGGAGAACAAAACCTATGAGGAATGAATGAAAGTGCTTGACATGGTCAGCTTGGTGAAGAAAAGTCTGAGGGGTGACATGTCTGCACTGTTCAAGGGCTGTCACAAAGAGGATAGAGGATAGAATGAGGTTTAATGGTTTGAAATCATAAGAAAGCAGATTTTGATTGAACATCAGAATGAATGTCTTGACAATAAGAACAGCTAGGCAGTTGAACCAATTGCCCAGAGTGTATAAATATGTGAGAGGAAGCCACAGGGAGGAGGGAGCAAGCTTGTTTTCTGCTTCCCTGGAGACTAGGACGCGGAACAATGGCTTCAAACTACAAGAGAGGAGATTCCATCTGAACATGAGGAGGAATTTCCTGACTGTGAGAGCTGTTCAGCAGTGGAACTCTCTGCCCCGGAGTGTGGTGGAGGCTCCTTCTTTGGAAGCTTTTAAACAGAGGCTGGATGGCCATCTGTCAGGGGTGATTTGAATGCAATATTCCTGCTTCTTGGCAGGGGGTTGGACTGGATGGCCCATGAGGTCTCTTCCAACTCTTTGATTCTATGATTCTATGAGTGGTGGTGGGGTCTTCTCTGGATGTTTTCAAAAAGAGGCTGGAGATTACCCGCTGGGAATGCTTTAGCTGGCGATCTGGCACTGAGCAGGAGGTCCAACTCTGTTTACCAGCATGTCCCTTCTAACTCTGTGATTCTATGGTTGCAGCTGGCTTCCCCTGGCCACACGATTTAAAAGTGCTTACTTCAAAAGTAGTTTTATGTAGCATTTAATTTGCCCTCTTGAATGCTGCACTCTTCAGATACACAGAGCTACAAATCCCACATATTGGATTTCCAGTGTGATGCATCTGATGATCAGTTGGAAAAGGGTTTTATAAGTTAAGCTTCAAAGAGGGCACAGAGCAAAGTAGAACATAAAGAATTAAGCAACAGTTGTTTTTAAGCTCTGAAAGTGGTTAAGCAAAGTTGGAATTATACTGAGACACTATCTTAGCATAAAGTTTCATGATACAAATGGTTGAATTCTGATTGATCTCATGCATAAACGACTACATAAATAAGAGATATCTTGTCATCATTGCTGCAAGAAAATCTGCTACCTCAAAGCATGTCTAATGCTTGTCTCCCAAGAGAAACTATGGATGTTCTCAGGAGACTGGCTTGGAAAACCACTTATCCCAAGGCACTGATAATATTCCAAGACAGCCTTCCCAGAACACCTTTGATCTAAGAACAGCTTCTGCTTTAGAAGCTAGAAATTGGAGAAACAGACAGTTTAAAGCTGTCTGCCTTCTTCACATTTTGACAATGATGATTAATCTGCCTAATTTACTTAATAGTCCTATGCTCCAAACCTTTTTCCTCCTGCTGCTATAACAACATTAACTGTGTAGACACACAACAAGAATCTAATCCCACAAATTAAGCCTCTTTTGGGGGATAGTGTGAATAATAACAATTGTTAATTAAATTTACAAATTCTTCCCAAGCTCTTGGTAGGATTAACAATAATATTTAAGCCAATGCTATCTGATTGTTGCTTAAGGGCATATAAAGTTTAGAGAAAAGAAAATGTTTCATATTCTTAATTGCCAGAAAGGTTGAACTGGCTGAATAAATCAATTTTTTGCTGAGTGCTGTTCTGTCCTGAAAATTCATGAAAAGTAAAAAGAAATTGATTTAAATTGGTATTGCACTGGTGTTAGTTATAACCAAGAAAAAATGAAAGTGGATGGGTCTCCAAAAAAGTAAGAAAGACGTATGATCTATGTTGGAAGGAAGGAGGGCAGAGAAAGGATGCTGATATTTTAAATATATTTTGGATATGTTCCATAGCACAATCCTTCTGGAATGTAATATTAAACTTGACCAATAAATCAATTTTTAGTACCAGAAGAAGCAAGCTGGCACTGGCCTGAATATATATATTTTAAGAAGACAGGTTTGTAACTAATGACTTACATGCTGAAGTTAAGATCTCAAAAGACACCAAATCCCGGCAGATGCCAAGGATCCACTATACAGGCAGCTCCCAAGTTACAAACAAGATAGATTCTGTAAGTTTATTCTTAAGTTGAATTTGCTTGTAAGTCAGAACAGGTACGTTTTAAAGTGTACACACAAACACACACACACACATTTAGTCAGGGACTTCTGATGGAGCAGCAGGAGGAGCAATCTTCATTGAGCTCAAGGGCAAGTTCTGATGCCAATATCTAATTACTTCACACACACACACACACACAAGGTTTTGGATAGCAAAGGGAAGGGCTGACACTCCTGTGGTGTTTATTTTGCTGTCTGTGCCCCTGTTGAAAATATTTCACCTCCCTTACTGTCTCTGTGATAATTGGATTATGAAAAAATCAGTTTGTTGTGGAAACAAGGACTGGTTAGAAAGCTTCAGTTGAGACACCTTTCCTCCATAATAACTCTGAGGGATAGATTTCTCTCATATCCTGTTGTCTCAGCCCTGTTTTTACCTATAAGTCATTCATAAGTCAGATCTTTGTATTTTGGGGACTGTCTATACACTGAAGCTAATGGGGAGAAAATTAGGGATATAGGAAGTAGTCTTGTATAAGGTTAGTCATGCTGACCTTATACCTTATAACGGGCAAAATAAGGTTCTGAACTCTTAGCCACTATATATATATATACCTTATTTTGCCCGTTTTAGTATGAAGACAAGAACAACAAATAAAACAAGATAAAATTTCAAAAGCTAACAAGAGAAATTCATAAAATAAAAGAGTTGTTTTTGTTGAGTGCTGTCAAGTTGTTTCTAACATTTGGCAAACTTGTCATAAGGGTTTTCCTGGCAAGGTTTGTCTAGGGATGTGGTTGTTTTGATTCCCTCTAAGGCTGAGGGAATGTGACTTGCCCACAGTCGTCCAGTGGATTTCCACAGATTTGAATCTGGTCATCCAGAGTTGTAGTCCAAGGTTCAAACTATTGTAGCATGCCGCTATTGTAATGTGTTCCAAAATGTACAAAGCATAAATGAATCACTCTGTTGACAGCTTTCTCCTGTTCACTCTACATCTAGTGCCTCTTCCCTTTTTGTTTTCATGTAATCCTACTCCTCCTCTCTTCATTCAGTTGTTGTAGAATAATAAGATCACATTGTTCAAGTATTTTCAGTACTGGAAAGCTTACACTGAAAATTCAATTCTTCCACTTGTTGACAAGATTATATGAAAACATTAGAACCACACTATAAAGATGAAACAATATTTTTATACCTAGAAATCTGCAATATTTTCTTATTGGTAAATTAATGCAAGTGAGATGGACAACCTTACTTTGAATAAAGTCTTGTCTTCAAATGGCTCACAGATAAGCTTCTCCACATTTCCACCCGTAATGAAAGTGATCATTACAATTAGCATCAGAGCCCAAGAGAAGAGGAAGCTGAATCCAACTCCACTAGGAAAATAAAATAAAGTATCTAAGGAGCTGTTTAAGAGATAACTACATCAAAGGAACAAAAATCTACTTACTAATATGCACTTGCAAGAACAAAATAGACAAGGTTAATGATTACAAACACAAATAATAGTTAGAGCTGAACTCATAATGTATGTACTATAATTTTAAAAATAAAATGTATCATTATTTTATAAGCCTCCAGATAGAGAAATGTATTCATGTGTATACGGCTGCATGTGTACCTAAACATGTATATCTGAACCTAGTTTTATGAATAACTTGTAATTTAAGCTACAATTGTGGGAATACTGTATGCAAAGATATGCACAATCCCAATGCAAGGTTATTTAAACAAGAGCAACAGGAATGAATCATTCTTCAAAATAGCTGGATATCCGTGGCACTCTGCCCTCCCAAATGGAGGATCTAAGCTTAGTACTTATCCTACAATTTATATCCTTCTGAAATTATTACAATATTTTCTGCAGTTAGGTAAAGAAGTCCTCTTCTACATTCTCCTCTGAGAAGATTTTGAAAAGCCTGTTTCAAACAGGCCTTCATTTTAAGGAAGTGGTTTTTTATATTGGAATTCATTTTACCTGTTTTTTGAAGTTCATCAGTCCTTAAAAGGTAAAGGTTTCCCCTGACATTGAGTGTAGTCATGTCTGACTCTAGGATGTGGTGCTCATCTCCATTTCTAAGCATTGTCCATAGACACCTCCAAGGTCATGTGGCCGGCATGACTGCATGGAGTGCTCTTACCTTTCCACAGAAGTGGTACCTATTGATCTACTCACATTTGCATGTTTTTGAACTGCTAGGTTGGCAGAAGCTGGGCTAACAGTGGGAGCACCCTGCTCCCTGGATTCAAACCACCAACCTTTTGGTCAGCAAGTTCAGCAGCTCAGCGGTTTAACCCACTGCACCACCACGGGGCCCTAATCAATGTTAAAACAGTTCTTGTTAGCCAAAAAAATGTTTCATTAGAGCACCATTATTTAAAAGACTTTTCTCTCCTTTTAAAAGTGCACTCACTACAGAGTTGTGCTTAATGAAATATTTTGCATGTAACTAATGGCCAAATCATGCATTAGTTAGCAAATCACCAAACTGCACTTTTCAGCCAACTTCAGCTCTGAAAAGCATACACATATGTTGGTCATGTTGTCATGTTGTTGCTTTTTTGGATTGGCAGAAAACTTACACATACAACTAAACAATGTATGTATCCTATCACCGATTTATGTCAATCAGGGATGTTCTGCCCAAACTTCAAGTGCTTACAAGGTTCCTATGATTTTTTTAGGACTGCACAAGCTCTCTAAGGACCTATCTGATCCCTGTTGCTTTTTTGGATTGGCAGAAAACTTACACATACAACTAAACAATGTTGTGTGTGATGCATGTAATTGTATCCTATCACCGATTTATGTCAATCAGGGATGTTCTGCCCAAACTTCAAGTGCTTACAAGGTTCCTATGATTTTTTTAGGACTGCACAAGCTCTCTAAGGACCTATCTGATCCCTGTTGCTTTTTTGGATTGGCAGAAAACTTACACATACAACTAAACAATGTTGTGTGTGATGCATGTAATTGTATCCTATCACCGATTTATGTCAATCAGGGATGTTCTGCCCAAACTTCAAGTGCTTACAAGGTTCCTATGATTTTTTTAGGACTGCACAAGCTCTCTAAGGACCTATCTGATCCCTGTTAATAACTATTTGATTAAAACTCTTTCTCTTTATTTTTTCCTCTTTATTTAATGTTCTGCTAAAAAGAGTTCTGTGGTGTTCACAAGATTAGCATTGTAAATCTTGGATTAGTCCCAAGAAGAGTTTTTATTATTGTTGTCTCTACTGCTCTTTACATTGAGTCTCACAATGTAATCCTCTCAATTTGATTAAAATCTCAAGCAACAGGAACTCACGCCATTAAGAAATTCCCTCCAGTGTTCGAGATGCAGCCTCTTGTCGTTGGAGTAGCATTTTTGTCATAACCACAGGTACCACATAGTAGTCCCAGATAGTAAAAAACAAGGATCAATATCACCATGCAGCAGAGAATTAAGCAACCCAGCCATCTAAGAAAAATCAGTGTGAAAAAAGGAATTAAAATTATGAATGGCACAACACTGAGATAAGATAACAAAACTTACAAATCTGAAAGCAACTGAGACACAGATGACATTAAAGGAATACACATTATTATTTCCATTTTCTATTGTTAATTTAACTGATTTCTTGATCAGCAATGCAATGCAAAGAAGCCAAAGCATGTTACTAGACTTCACTTGCTATACCTAATACTTCACTTCCGTGTCATGTTAGTATGCATACTTAACATTTAAATTCATTTTTGCACTACTTTGATACCACCTGAATGACAAAACCAATCCAAAGTTTGATAGCTACTCAATACAATTACATTCTTCTGCAATACATCATGTATCTGTCTCTGGTAAAGATGCAGATTCCACTATAATGGGATACTATGAAACTGGAAGTGACAAGAGTTAGCTCTTAGTGGAGCACACCAGTTTGAAGGATAGCTTTTACACATCATAATCCATATGACACAACACATACCTGTAGAAATCATATTGCTCCACTAATGGAAAATGATCCTGAACGTACGCCTCACCCTGGGTAAGATATATTGTGAAGTCTGCCAGTACCTTCTGGACAGGAAGCATTTTAGTAAAGGCTGTGATATTTGAACCAACAGCTTCCAGAACATTTTTTATATCTGAAAAAAATGAATGTATTCATCATGACTGTTCTTCCACTCAAGAAAAATTTTTTACTGCATGCTAACAAAAAGATGTGATTGATGCAGCTTTGTATAGCAAAATAAGCCATGAAAAGAAGCATTAAGCTGATATAAGCAAGCCACAAATACATCAACATGAGATGATTGTGCATGTTGATGAAAGCCACAGTCTTCCATATTTCTGTGCTCATTATAATGAAACTATGGTCTAGTTCTTATCAAAGATGTAAACCTATATAGGAAATATTCAACTTCAGGCTATATGTGGGAACATACACTATAATTTTTCTTTCATATAAAAATACAAATATTTTTGTGGCATCATTCAGTTGTGTGAATGTCCAACTGCAACCATACAACCCAGATTTCTCAAGGACCAAGCTAAATGTGTTATGTTTTCTCTAAATGTCTGATATATTTTAATATGTTTTAATCATTTGAAAGACTATTTTAATTGATATGTATGTGGCCTTTTGATATTGTTGTTATCTGAATCTGGAATTGAATTACTGCCATAGTTTGTAAGCCGCCCTGAGTCCCCCTGCATGGTGAGAAGGATGGGATATAAGTACAGTAAATATTACTATGGTCAGCCAAAGTTTTATGACATAATTTCCTGTCAAATTGGTCATTGTTTACTTTTGATAGCAAGGCTTCTATCTGGTTACATTCTTGGTGGCGCATGCACATGCAAACATTATCGAAGTTAGAACTTTAAGTGTCAGCTTTTTCAGACCAACTGGCTATGAATAACAATAACAAAATTTCAGATATTCAAACATTATTGCAGTTTTGATCAGTGTTCCAAGTATGGCCAGTGCACAAATCCTACTGAAACTGCTGAGCTACGCAGCTATAACAAATATTTTAAAGATGTAACTAATGCTACTTTGTGGGGAAATGAAACTATGCAAAAGATCTATAACAACTGCTTGTTAAATATCTTGGGATGAAAAGAATGAGTAATTATGACTTTCAATATGCATTAAATGTAATTTCAGTTTTTAAAACTCTCAAGTGTTTTAYCACATTCAAAATAGATCTGGTTTTATGTTCCTGGATGTTTYCTGGAYTAATGCACAATCTCTACAATAAATTTTATTGTTTCCCATCTAAACATGTTTATATCTTTTTTATCAAGTTAACCTACACATTTAGATATTTGGGATTTCTCTCTTGAGTGYAATTCAAGTTGATGGTGAAGACAGAAATAATTGAACAGAAATGTAGCAAATTCTCAAGAGAAGAACAGCTTAGRTTCTCAATATACAGTATGCACAGATACCAATGAATCAAACCCTGATTGAGACATCAGAGATCYAGCAGACTGCCTTCTTGCTTTTTTTTTTTTAAAAAAAAAGCRAGACAGACCTTTATTTAGTGTTTACTCAACATCRTGAATTAAAGAGCTGAGAAACTGTTTTGAATARTAAGTTGCATTCACACTATCCACAGGACTTCTTCCTATGAATTTGTGACYTATCTGAGATGCCTGAATTGACCACAATTTGAACAGAGGATTTCCAAACTGGAATCAAAACRTTCTATATCTCTTATGTCTGTCTTCACCCAGAATTACGRGGGATCAAAATTCKACTGCTTTCCACAGGGAAAGGYTAAGCAGATGCTTAATTCCCTCCAGGAAAACAAAGCAGTGAGTTTAACTGCAGGTGTATCCTACCCTTAATTTTTACCCACTTAAAAGGAAACTGCAACATTTTAATGCATATTAATAGTTATTGTGAAGAATAAATGATTTTGCACTTAACTTCTCCCGAGTTCAAATGTTATAAGACAATTTAACAAAATTTTCACATTACAGTTTTGATGAGACACACAGTATGCCATATGTTTATAAACATACTGTGTATTTGTTTTGCAAACTTACAAGGTACAGCTGTTTATATTGGCAGAACAGGTCCATAATGCAAGAACAAAGATTAAAGAAAGGTTAATGAACATCTTCTCAGCCTGAACACACCAAACACATGCTCATTTTGCAAAAACTGGTGTGAAAGCAATTTTTAAGGGCTCAGGGATTCATTCTGCACAAATTTTGTGTTGTACAGTAGATGGCAGGCAAGATCTGGAACCCATGGCTTTGTAATGAAAATTGAAAGTTTTTCTGATCCTGGTTTGAAAGTGCTATTTCCTGTTTAATTGTATGGTTCCAGCTCTTAAAGTAGTTGTTATACTCCAGGAACTTTGTTTTTGTGGCTGTCATAAACTATGTTGAATTGGTTGAAACTCTATGCGATATTAATTGAAAAACTATAGCAAAATGTACTGCTTGATGCCCCACAAAAACAAAGTTTTTGCAGTTTAATAAACCTTTGCCATGTTTTTATCATAGAATCAATTAGGAAATGACATTTATGACCCAGGAACAAAAATCATGTTACATAGTGTTATCTGTCCCCCAGCAGAACTACAAACATTTATCCAGTTATAGTCAACCAAAGAAAGAAATGAATGACTTCAAGCAGCAAATATTAAGAGATATTCCATATGTACTTCTATCCCTGCTTCTAATTCCCTGTTCTTTGCTAGGAAATGTCAGATTTATTATAAATCCTGACTACTGCTGAGGGCATTCAGAAGACATAAAAACATTATACACTCTTGGAGCCCTGCCCAGCACAGCAAGGCAACTGAAAATAGAAAAGTTGGCCATCTGCAGCCTGAGGACCATTTACTTTCCCTAAAAAGTGCTTCTTCTAGCCCTCCAACATACATGTTCCTCCAAAGTTTTCTTTATTACAGCTCTGTCCCAGAAAGAAGCATTGAAGATTATTTCTTCTAGATTTCTCCCAATTTCTACAACTTGTAGCCATTGAAATCCATGTTGCATCTATTCTCTTTTCCATGCTTGTCACATGAGCAGAACCTCACATGTGAGGTCAGACTTCAGCATAATACTGCTTTCATCTGAGGAGTTTCATGTATTTCTTGTTGGAATGTTTCCGGCTTCGATTTAGTTGGTCCTCTATGCCAGATCCAGCTACCAAGAAAATGTGGCTGCACTGCAGTTTCTACCAATGTTCATCCTTTGACTTGCCTCTTCATCTCTTTTCCCCTCTTCCCCTGGCGTGAAACCTTTTTCTTTATGCCTCTCAATCTGACAATTAATACACACTACTACTGTTCAACATTATGTAGTTGACATTAAAGTGTTACTCAACATCAGCTGATACATTTATTTGGCATATTGCCAGATACTTAAATAGTGTTTTAGATTTACAAAAAAGATAAAAGAACTTCATGATGAAAAATTCAAACAACAGTTTGCTTCAGGAATACAAATGAGCACAATGAAATAATTAAGTCTTACCTGCCAAAATGTTCTTTGTTTGATCAAGTACTAAATCTGGAGTATTGTTAAATGCTGCATAGCCCTAGAATTAAAAACGTACATGTTCGACGTTGTCTTGGTGACAAAAGACCAGCATGCCTATTTCTATCTTTAAAAGAGATTTGCCAAATATTTATATCAGTAGCATATTTTAAATTGAGTTTCCGACTAAAGAAGACAGAATATAAATCGCAAGCAGCTTTTAAAGCAACTTCCTTATTTTGTCTAATTTATACAAACACTTTTTTAGAGCTGAATGATTCAAACATTAATAGATATACTCAACGTTGTGATTAACACACTGAAATTTGTCACATCCCTGTATGTTATTATCAGCACGGTGATGGAGTTGATTATTACAGTGAAGACAACCTGTTTATTACATAAATAGCCAATTGCACCAAGGGTCCATTTATATCTTCCTTATACTGATGTTTTCAAAATACTGACATGGGGTGCATCACATTAGCAAACATATGACATTTGCGGGGAGACCAACTTGAAGTTATAATTTCTATTAAATACAGATCTAAACCTCTATCTTGAATTGAATCTAATGAGATAACTTCCTACCTTGGAATTTCCAAACAGAATTCAAAGATTTGGTGGCCACTCAATATTGTTTGGAGATCCATCTCTGTTAACAATACTTGTTCTGTGATATTTTTGTCCCACACATTATCACATAGGCTGCAAGCTGTTCTGTATGTGGATATCAACTAACCCTAACTGTGGTTAAATTAGTGGTTTCAAATATCCTAAGCAATATTGACATAAAGCAGCAAGCTGGAATCATGAATCATCCATATGTTTCTGGATTGCAGATCCCAGCTGTTTCTTACGACTGTCAGCACTACAAGTTACAGTTCAACAACTGGAAGTCCACATGTGCTCAATGACTAAAGTCTCCTGTAAGCCTTAAGGCAGCAGTTCTCAACCTGTGGGTCCCCAGGTGTTTTGGCCTACAACTCCCAGAAATCCCAGCCAGTTTACCAGCTGTTAGGCTTTCTGGGAGTTGAAGGCCAAAACACATGGGAACTCACAGATTGAGAACCACTGCCTTAAGGGAATGTGCCTTTCACTTCTCCACCCCAGACCTCTAGTTTTCTCCATACTGGAGTCAGGCAGGCAATGGATTGCCAAGTTCCCAAAGGTCAATGAGGTGAAATGGGACATAAGGCAATAGAGACTATGAGAATTAGACAGTAAGAACAAGGTTTTCAGGAAAACATCTGACTAATGCTATGCATCCAAGGGATAGGCATGAGAATGATAAAGAAACCCTGATGTCATTGGTGTTTCATAAATTTGTGTAAGCTGGCTTGAGGGTACTTTTAACTCCAAAGGTGGGAGAGATCAAATAAGTCAGCTATATCCTTCATTTCAATATGAGTATATTTTACTTCTGAAAAACACCAGTAGAAGAAACTGTCTCGCTCCCTTATTGCATATCCCTATGTACATGTAATTTTGGCTCCAAAGGTGGGAGAGATCAAAGAAGTTAATTATATCCTTCATTTTAATATGAGGGGCATATTTTACTTCTGAAAAACACTGGTAGGAGAAACTATCTCGCTCCCTTACTGCACATCCCAAATGTACATGAGATCCATGTGCACTTGCCTGTTGAGACATTTAATGTTTTTTCAAAGCCACATTCTGTTATAATATGCAAACTTAGATTTGTTTTATTAACATACCTTTTGAACCAGACTGGAGAGGTCTATTTTAAGGACTTCATTGACCTTGGCAAGCTGAGTGCTAACTCCTGGCAACTAAAAGAAAACGAAGTGGGGGAAGGAATTGAGTTACTTTTACTTTACATGTAAATTTTAACTTCTATTTGTATCCTGCTTTTACATCTAACTACAGTATCTACCACCACTTATTTCTGGCAGTGTCCCAGTTCTACATGCTAATCCATTAAACCAATGCATGTTTCATATTAATTGTTATTATTGTGATTTACATGGTGCATAGAGATCAAGTTGAAATGTGACAGACTCAGGAGAAGACTCAGAATGTACTCTAAGATTACCCTGTTCACTATGCTGATTAGCTCTAGAATCATTATCATCTTTATTTATCCATCTTTTCCCTAAAACTAGTACTCAGTTTTACAAATTAAAAGAAATACAACATAGTCAAAAATGCAAAAATACAAAATGGAATTAATCTAAGAACAACAGTAAAATTTAGAATTCAGTAACAACATTAGAAAGTCATTTAATAGAAATAAAATTAAAACAATGCAATGTACATTTAAAAGCCTTTCATTTTCAGAGGCCTGTTTGAATAAAAAAAGTTAGGGACATCCTCTTAGGGAGATACTTGTGAGTATATATGATTATCTCCTTTCAGAGTATATATAAGCATATTTTTCAGGTGTTGGTATTCCCTTCCACCCTTGGGAATGGCCAAAACCTACTACTCACTAAACAACTTCAGTCACCCTCTGCCTAGCCATACCCTGCTTTGTGGGGAACAGACAGAATCACAGAAGCTTCACCCTGCAGCCTCCAATGAAATCAGTGCTGATA